GCTGCACGTGGCAGGGCGGCCTCCGTGCACTTGACCTTCTCGAGAGCCTCCAGCTCCGCGTACTTGGCATCGTGCTTACGCAGCTGGCGCAGCTCAGCATCATGCGCAGCCTGGGCGACGGCAAGCTCCTGCGCTCGTTGCGCCAGGCGCGCCTTGGCCTCCTCGCGTTTCTCGACCTGCTTGCCCTTGTCAACCTTCCGCTGCAGCACCTGGGCCACTGGCTGCGTGGCGAGGTCGACCACAGCGGGCGGTGGTGGGAAAGCCGCCTCCTTCTGGGCATCCGTGAGGCCCACCTTGACAGCTGCGACCAACGCATCGTCGGCCGCCGCAACGAGCTCTGCAACGCTGAAGTTCTGGAGTTTATGGGTGGCGACCGCGGGGCCACCGCTCTCGAAATGGTTGGCCCAGTCCTTTGCATATGCCCACTGGTCGACCGTGCTTTTGCGCTTGGCTTTGGTCCTGTCCTGATCCGCGACTTGGGCCTTCTCACGGCCAGCTCCTCCAGTCCTCCAAGGCGGGGCCCCGAAGCCGAGCGCACTGCATGACTTGTGGGCAGCCAGCACGCTGGGCGGGGCTCTGGCCCCGCAGGCCCTGCACTCTGTGCGCGACGCGCAGTTGGGGCAACCGCCGCACCTGCTCGTACACATGAATTGCGTTTCCCTCGGAGCCTTCTTCCTTAAGCGCACTCTTCCATGCCATGGGACTGTCGGGCTCGTCGTGACCCGTGTGGCTCGCAAGTACGGGCCGCTCTAAAGCACGCGCTTGCAAGTTCAGGTCGAACACCTGAGCAAGAACGGCGAGGAGGAGGAGGAGGAGGAGGCGGAGGAAAAAGACGAGAAGGCAGGAACATGCATCGAACGCCGAAGCCGAATACGGGCAATGCGAAGCGACCCCGTGGGCGCTCAGGAAACATGGGGGCGACAGACCTCGGAGAGGTGACCATCTCTTCCGCCTGCACCTGCTCGTTCTTCGTTCCCTGGGCCCGTGCTCTCGAACGACATTGTGTGGCGGCGCGCACACAGAGGGGTAGGGGGAAGGGAGACAACTTCCAAGAAGGATGCTGCTTCTTAGGAGGCACAAGGCCCGCGCCTTCTAAAAAGCAGGGTTGCATTTGCGAAGCCTTACCCCCACCCCCTACCCCCCTTCGCGCGTGGCCGACTGTCCCGCGTCAAACTTCTGGCCCGCCGCCTCTCCGGAACTCCGGTTGGCAAGGGCGGGCCCGCGCTGCAGGGCGCGATGCTCCCCTGGCCTGGCCGGCTCAGGCAGCACGAGCCCCAGCAGGCAGGACGAGCAGATCGAAGGCGAACCCGCGGGCGCGCTGGAGCAGCCACGGCCTTTGGAGCGTGCCCCCGCGGGGCGGGCGCGGGTCCTCCTCCCCCTCCTCCCCATTCTCCTCCTCCTCCTCCTCATCCTTCTCCTCCTCATCCTCCTCGTCGTCGTCCTCTTCCTCCTCCTCCTCCTCCTCCTCCTCCTCCTCCTCCTCCTCCTCCTCCTCCTCCTCCTCCTCCTCCCCTCTACTTCCTCCTCCCTCCTCCTCCTCCTCCTCCCCCTCCTCCTCCCCCTCCTCCTCCTCCTCCTCCTCCTCCTCCTTCTCCTCCTCCTCCTCCTCATCATCATCATCATCCTCCTCATCATCATCCTCCCCCTCTACTTCCTCCACCGCCTCCTTCTCCTCCCACTCCTCCTCCCCCTCCTCCTCCTCCTCTTCCTCCTCCTCCTCCTCGTCCTCCTCCTCCTCCTCCTCCTCCTCCTCCTGCTCCTCCTCCTCCTCTCCTCCTCCTCCTCCTCCTCCTCATCCTCCTCCTCCTCCTCTCCTCTCCTCGCTTTTTTCTCTTCCTCCTCCCCCTCCCTCCTCCTCCTCCTCCTCCTCCTCCTCCTCCTCCTCCTCCTCCTCCTCCTCCTCCTCCCCCGACTCCTCCCCTTCCTCCTCCGCAATTCTCCAATCTTGGGACGGGGGACGTGCTGACAGCCACGGGCTCCAGGGCGCACCTCGTTGCGGCAGGCGCGGCAGCCGCGGACACGAGCGAGCAGCTCTTCCCCGGTGACGGACCGCAGCGGTGCGCTGGGCCCCCGCCTGTGGAGTGGAGGGCGGGACAGCGCGCGAGATGTGTTTGCTTGGTTTGTGTGTGTTATGTAGTTTGTTCTTTGTCCTTGCGACGTCAGAACGATGCCTCCGCCAGAAGTAGGCGGCGCGCCCAGAGGGGAAGGCAGAAGGGGTGGGCCTTCTCGGAAGGCTGAAGCTTTCCGAGTCATCTCCGAAGACACAGGCGGCTTCGCAGAAGGCGCGAGGGCTTCTGAGAAGCCCCACCCCTTTCTTAGAAGGCCTGTCCCCTCGAGGATCCTCGTCGTCTAGCTTTGGGGTCTTACCTGGGGTCTCTGGCGGCCGTTCGGGACGATCAGGCCCCCCCCACCCCCCGGGACGCCTCTTGGCGAGGCGCAGCCGCTGGAACGCACCATTCCAAGGCCGGACGACCGCCGAGAACCGACGACAACGCCCGAAAACCTCGAACCTCGAACCCGAAACTCCCCAAACTTCCCCTCCCCCTGGGTGCGCCGCCGAGGGAAGCCGCATCTTTGCCACACCATGCAGCGCACGACTGCGAACATATTGCCGCACGATTTGCTGCAGGCACGCATTCATGTATGTCTGTTGCCCCATCCGTAGCCGCCGAGGCTCGAATCTAGAAGTCACCCGACGCGTTCTATAGCCAGGCACAAAACAGCAGCTGCGCAATCATAGCTTGAGAATTCTTTGGCCTCCTCGGCGCGCCGCCCAACCCCCGCCGTCCACATCGGCGCGCTCCCAGGCAGACCCGCCTGCGGCAGCCGCTCCCGGGCAGACCCGCGGCCGTTGCGGGGGGCCCCGCGGCCCCGCGCCGGGGTGCGCCGAGGGGGCCTCGGCTTCGTGCCGTGACGGCCCTGTCGTTCTGGGATGTGCTAGGGGAGAGCTTGGACGTGTCAGCGATGATTCTGAACAAGTGCTGAATGATATTCTCGATAGGGTGGGGAAGGGCGGGATGCGGGCACGGCAGCCTCGTGCCGTGACGACCCTCGAGCTGGCTCCTGACCCCGCGTGGATCGCTCAATCTCGAACGATCGGCGGCCTTGCCATCTTAGCCTTGAACGATCAACGGCCTTGACCTCTCCATATCGGCCGATTCTGGGCCACCGGCGGTGTCTTCAGCCTTGAACGCCCGCGGCGAGGTCGCCGCTGCGTCGGCACGACACGAAATTACCGTACGCGTCTCCTTCGGCCTCTCCAGGACACCCACGGTCCACTCTCGGCCTCCAGCCGCGGCGGAAGGCGGGACGCAGTGGGCAAGAAGTGCGGCACGTAGGGCGAATTCGTCTTTGTTCATCCGTCGCGAGCTCAACAGCGCCCGCTGCCTGCCTGGGTCCGCTGGCCGCGGCGCGGACGGGGCAGCGCCCAAAAAATGCGGCACGGCGGGCGAGTTCTTTTTTGGTCCGCCGCGAGCACCTCCAGCGGGCTCAAGTAAAGGAACACAACTGCGTAAACATAGGCTTTCGGAACTCCGTGCGGATCTCTTGAATCGGCGCGCGCCAGGGGCGGCGCCGGAGGCGCCGCCCGGGGGGCCCAGCGCCAAGCCAAGACATCCGCGCAGAGCTTTGGAAATCTAGGTTTGCGCCACCGTGCCTCCGTCCTCCGCGGGCCCCTCCAGCTGGCTGCAGGGGGGGCGACTCCTGCCTGCCCCGCAGGCAGGACACAACGGCATGAGCAGAAACTCTCGGAATTCCGCGCGGAGCTCGGAACGTCTATCCTGATGATATGTTTCTTTTCTCTTGGACTCTTTTCCGTCTCGAGCACCTCCCGCAGCTCAGAGGGTCCGCCGCCCGCCTGCGGGGCCGACGGCCGCGGCAGCGCCGAGGACCCGCGGCGCAGCGGGCGCAGCGTGCCTTCGTCCTTCGCGGGCCCCTCCGGGAGCTGGATGGAAGGAACCGAACTCTATACACCGACGCTTGTTCCGGCCCTGCACCGAAATTCGCACAGGAAAGCGGAACCTGGTGCATACGGGACCCTGGTGTATACATTCTTCGCTGGTTCCTGGGAAACGGAACAACGAGTATACACCACACCGCCCCGACGTCGTCCCCAACCCTAACAAGAGTCCTGGGAGTGAGGAACGGCCCGCCCCTGGCAGTGCATGTGTCCCAGTTCCCGAGAATGGGGCGACCGCTGCCTGCTCCGGGCCGACGGCCGCGGCGACGACGGGGAGCGCCGACCCAGACCCCCTCGCGCCGCGAGGCATCCACGGCGGGCGCTGCACTGCAACTTCTTCTGCCTCTGGGGGCCCTCCGCCGGGCCCCGGGACCGGCAATAAGACGACTCGGGAGGACAAGCCGGTCGGGGGGGAGGGAGATCCATACCCCCATGGGGTCCACGTCACGAGCAAATCATGACGTCGGGGGTCTGCGGAGGCCACGCCTTGCCGAACGGCCCTCTCACCATCCTTTGCAAAGTCCATCCCAGCTCGAGGCGCTCACATCGCCAGCCAGTGGGGCCTCGGCCGCGGCTGCGCGTAGTTACATCGGGCTCTGGATCGCGTGCGAGCGGCGTCAAGCAGCTGCAGTGATGCCGTGGCGAGGGCGCTCTCTCTCTGGTGCTGTCGGTCTCGGCAGGCGTCTGGAAAGCACGAAGCCTATTTTCGGAGCGGCCGTCGAGACCTTCCTGAAGCCTCCCAATAAATTCAAAGCTCTTGCAATCGCTGTGCGCACATCCGCATCGTCGCCCTGCTCCGACGCTCAGATATCATCGACGGAAATTCCACATTGAATGCCAACGTCGATAGCACAAACACGGATACCAGGGTCACTTCTGGATCTCTCAAAATACATGGGTCTATAACCTGTAGAATTGAATCAACTTTTTGACATTAGGAGGAACGTGACAAGGCGGAGAACGGGGAAAGAGAGTAGCGAACAGTGGAGGAGCCAAGATGGAGGAGGAGGAACTGAAATTTCTCATTCGAGGCCGCCCCCTCCTCGGTCATGGTGCGCTCCCATTTTAAGCGGCGCATCAATCGCAAAATGCCCATGGGGTCCACGAGCCGCACTGGAGCGGGTTCATTTCATGACGCTCTCGCCTTCTAGTCCTCAACGGTTTCGTCGTGGAAAGGGGCTGCATGCATCCTGGACGGCTTTCGCAATGGAGTGCCCTGGTCAGCTACGTCGCTCATTGCCACTGGTTCCTGCCAGCGCCCTGTAGTTATGCTGCGTAGAACTGTTTCGAAGGTTGGAATCACTCTTTCCCCGAACGAAGACAACAATCGCCCACGCAAAAATGCGCACCAAATAACCTTGTCCAAAAATTGCGAAACTTTGGTCTCACATTGTTTCCCGTCCGCCGCCGGGCAACAACACACCACGATCGTTGTGAGCATGAGAAGCGCACAGAAGAGATATGCCTCAGCCCCCCCCCCATATGCATTGTTCCTGCTGCTGGCGTCGCTACCTCCTCCGCAGCTCTCCTCTTTCCCCAGTGTGCCCTCCGTCCTCCATCATCCCTTGGCACGTCGTCTCGACCCATCTCGCCTCTCCCCAGTCCTCTACAATAAAGTCACACGATAGCGCATCTTGCCATACGCAAAGTTTCAACCAGCGTGACCCCCAAGCAGTCTAGCAATTTATGGTGTGCAATCTACGTGGTGCTATCCATGTTGTGCAACCTACGCGGTGCAATATATGCGGAGCTATCTACGTGGTGCAATCTATGTGGTGCCATCTTCGCTGTGTAATTTACGTGGTGCAATCCACTCTGCTGAACTTGAAGTCGTCATCTCCACTGCTCGCGCAAACATTCCACCCACCCACCCGCGACTTGGTTTGCAAAACCTGTTAAGACCGACTACGACGACACCGACGACAACGACTAGGACGACACCGACGACGTCTCCGACGACTTCGACGACGACAACGACGCCGACGCCGACGACGACGAAGACGACGACGACGTCGCCAACGAAGGCGACAACGAGGAAGGAGGGAGGACGACGACGGCGACAACGACGACAACGACGATGGAGGAGGGAGGACGGCGACGACGCCAACGACGAAGAAGGAGGAAGGACGGCGACGCCGACGACGGCAACGACGAGGGAGGAGGGAAGACGACGACGACGACACCGACGACGACGACGACGACGACGACGACGGCGACGAAATAGGAGGGACGACGACGAGACGCCGACGACGGACGACGACGACGACGACGACGACGAAGAGGGAGGAGGAGGAAGGACGACCACGGCGACAACGACGACGGAAACGACCACGACGCCACAGAGGACGACGACGACGAACACGAGGAAAGACAGATGACGACGTAGGCGACGACGACGACGACAACGACGCGGGAGGAGGGAGGACGGCGACGACGACGACGACGACGCAAGAGCGCGCGCACGCTTTTCTTGAAAATCCGTGTTGCGAAACCTTGGGTTTGTGTAGGTTTTTTGGACGCACGATTTTGAAATCCTTCCGAAACCGATGGGTTTTGAAGGACTTCGCCATACGCGCGCGACGACGCGCGCGTCTGCACTTCGTCTTATTTGTTGCAGGGGATTCTCGCGACGGCACACGCGCAAGGGCGTTCGACAGATTTCGACATGAGCGCGCGCGAAGCCCGTTTGGTAGCATTTTGTGAAAATCTTGAAAACCCAATGGTTTTCTTCAGATTTCGCGAGAGCTCGCGCGGAAGTTTTTTTAGCAACTCTGTGTTGCGAAACCTTGTGTTTTTGTATGATTTGTTTTGGAAGCTCGATTGCGAAATCCTTCCGGAGGTTTTTGAAGGATTTTGGCATGCGCGCGCGACGACGCGCGCGTGTGCACTTCGTCTCGTTTTTTGCAAGGGATTCGCGAAAAAGTGCTATGTTAGAACAAAACATGTCACCGCATAATGTTTTTTACAAGGGAACCTCAGGGGGGGGAAACCGGCCTAGCTGGGATGGTACGATTTCATATTTAGGATGGACGAGTGTGCAGAATATAAATATGAAATCGTACTATCCCAGGGGGAACCGATAAGTCCGGGGGGGGTAGAGTCTATTCTTTTTTTAGAAAAGAGACTTAACGTACGTTCGCAATGAACTGTCAACCCCACTGCCCGCGCAATCATCCCACCCACCCGGCCGTAACCGGGATAGCAAAACCCATGCGGCGGTGATTGCGATGAGTGCTTGGATTTGGCTGGTGCACCTCTGCGGCCGCGCAAACCTGCGCATGCTCGCGCGCGCAGCGGCCAACTAGTTTGAAGCGACCGACGCGGCCGCGGTGGCGCTGACCGCTGGGCACATCCCACCGGGCACTTCAGTGCGAGTCGGCGACTTGGGCGGGCGCGGTATCATGGCACCGCCGACAATGGCAGACACGATGATGATAGTAGCGGTGCTGGTGACGATGATGGCAGCGGCGACGGCACGGCCAGTGACGGCGCCGATGCTGATCGCGCCGACGGCGATGACGGCGCCCTCGCGTCGGCGATGCAAGTTTTGGAAGGAGTTCGGCGTGCGCGCGCGGCCGACTCGCAAGAGTGGCCCGCATGGTGCTAGTTGACGCGGATCGTGCCCCCCCAGCGCGCGCGCAAGGGTGTTCGAATGATTTCGAAATGCTGCGCGGGTTGCTCGTCTTGCACAACGCAATGAACATGTTAAACACCGTATGGTTTTCTTCAGAATTCGCAAGAGCGCAAATGCAATACGGAAAAATGTTACCCGCTAGCCCCAGAAAGGGGGTATATTCTAATGCTGTTTCAGAAATGAAAGCCTATATTGTGAAATTCAGGTTGTGCCGTTTACGTTGTGCAGTCTTTGTTGCGACATATCCGTGGTGCAATCTATTCTGTGCAACTAATCTTGACCGTCTTGAAGCTGTCCTCTCCACTGCTCGTGCAAACATCCCACCCTCCCACCCGCAACTTGGTCGCAAAACATCTTCAGACAAGACCGTGACGGTAGGTACTGCATGGCACTTGGCCACGACATCGATGCCGACGACGACAGCGACATCGACGACGACGGCGCCGCCGACAGCGACTGCGACGACACCGACGACGTCTCCAATGTTTTCGACGACGACAACGACGACGACGACACCGACGACGACGACAACGACGCCGACGACGACGACGAAGACGACGACGACGTCGCCAACGGAGACGACGACGAGGGAGGAGAAAAAACGACGACGGCGACAACGACGACAACGACGATGGAGGAGGGAAGACGGCGACGACGCCAACGACGAAGAAGGAGGAAGGACGGCGACGCCGACGACGACAACGACGAGGGAGGAGGGAAGACGACGACGATGACAACGACGACGAAGACGACGACGACGGCGACGAAATAGGAGGGACGACGACGAGACGCCGACGACGGACGACGACGACGAGGGAGGAGGATAACGACGAGGGAGGAGTGAAGACCACGACGACGACGACGACGACGACGACGACGAAATAGGAGGGACAACGACGAGACGCCGACGAAGACAACGAGGGAGGAAGGACGACCACGGCGACAACGACGACGGAAACGACGACGACGCCAAGACGACGACAACGACGACGAGGAAAGACAGAAGACGACGACGGCGACGACGACGACGACGACGACGAGGGAGGAGGGAGGACGACGACGACGACGACGACAAGAGCGCGCGCGCACAATTTTGTTGAAAACCCGTGTTGCGAAACCTTGTGTTTTTGTAGGTTTTTTGGACGCACGATTTCGAAATCCTTCCGAAACCGAAGGTTTTTGAAGGATTTCGGCATACGCCCGCGACGACGCGCGCGTCTGCACTTCGTCCCATTTTTTGTAGAGGATTCTCGCGACGGCACACGCGCAAGGGCGTTCGACAGATTTCGACATGCGCACGCGCGAAGCCTGTTTGGTAGCATGTTGTGAAAATCTTGGAAAACCTATGGTTTTCTTGAGATTTCGCAAGGGCTCGCGCGTAAGTTTTTTTAGCAAATCAGTGTTGCGAAACCATGTGTTTTATATGTTTTTTGGAAATTCAATTTTGACATCTCTCCGGAACCGAAAGTTTTTGAAGGATTTCGGCATGCGCGCGCCACGACGCGCGCGTGTGCACTTCGTCTCATTTTTTGCAAGGGATTCGTGAAACAAATGCTATGTTAGAACAAAACATGTCACCGCATAGTGTTTTTTTACAAGGGAACCGCAGGGGGGGGGGATACCGGCTTGGCTGGGATGGTATGAATTCATATTTAGGATGGACATGTGGTCATAATCATATGTGATTTACAGCACGCGCGGGGGAACCGATAAGTCCGGGGGGGGGGGGTAGAATCTATTAGTCTTTTAAAAAGGAGAATCGATGATGTGCAGCGCGCGTGCGCAATCTATGTGGCGTAGCCGATGTGGTGCGCAACCTACGCGGTGCAATTAATCTTGACCGTCTTGAAGCTGTCCTCTCCACTGCTCGTGCAAACATCCCACCCTCCCACCCGCAACTTGGTCGCAAGACCTCTTCAAACAAGACCGTGACGGTAGGTACCACATGGCACTTGGCCACGACACCGATGCCGACGACGACAGCGACATCGTCGACGACGGCGCCGCCGACAGCGACTGCGACGACACCGACGACGTCTCCAATGTTTTCGACGACGACAACGACGACGACGACACCGACGACGACGACAACGACGCCGACGACGACGACGAAGACGACGACGACGTCGCCAACGGAGACGACGACGAGGGAGGAGAAAAAACGACGACGGCGACAACGACGACAACGACGATGGAGGAGGGAAGACGGCGACGACGCCAACGACGAAGAAGGAGGAAGGACGGCGACGCCGACGACGACAACGACGAGGGAGGAGGGAAGACGACGACGATGACAACGACGACGAAGACGACGACGACGGCGACGAAATGAAAGGACGACGACGAGACGCCGACGACGGACGACGACGACGAGGGAGGAGGATAACGACGAGGGAGGAGTGAAGACCACGACGACGACGACGACGACGACGACGACGAAATAGGAGGGACAACGACGAGACGCCGACGAAGACAACGA